TAGGAGCGGGCTGGGATGGGTCCCCAAGGAGGGCAGGGAGTGGCAATGACAAAACAACAACTAAATAAACTATTTAGTGTAATACAACACTGCATGACCTGCTGCCATGGCTATGTCTCACCACGAGCAGCCCAAACATCACAGAGCTGACTTTGTTTGCCTTCCCCTCTCAGCTGGTGGCTGGGAGCAGCAGCACAAGTGCTCCCAAGTGCTTCTTGCACAAACTGCACTTGGTGCTCCAGAGCCTGCTGTGTTTCCATCAGATTTGCTCAGTGATGAGGTTACACTGCTGCCTGTGAGGAGTCTCACTTTGTTGCTTTCACCTCCCGAGTTAGATTTGGGTTTATTTTGAGACACAAGTTTAAAAATTCATTCATGTTTTAAGCAATTCTACTATGAGATTCTTTTTGTGTGTGTGTGTGTTTGTTTTATGTTTTTGTTTTGTTTATGGCTTTTGTCATGCAAAATGTATCTCATTCTGCTTTGGGCTTGCTGTCAGTATGCCATTACAATTTTTAAGAATAGCCAGGAAGAGAGAGGGAATGGAAAAAGGAACAGGCACCACAAAGCAGTGCAGGGAGATATGAGATGATGAGAAGAGGTAGAGAGTGGGAGCACTGATGAGTGTGAGAGGCATTACAGACAAAAGGAGTCTTGCAAGGAAAAAAAGCCAAGTGCAGGAGAGAGGAGGAGCAGGGGAGGAGGGAAGCACTGAGGGCTGCAAGGGCGGGTGATGATGGAGCTTAAAAAGCAAAACCAGAAGAAGTTTGGGAGGCAGATTTGGAGCCAGAGCCTCACAGGGGTGGGTGGGTTGCACAGTCGTGTCTGTACAGCTGACAGGAGGCAAAGCAGCCTGCTGCCCACAGCCCAGCTCAGTGACCTGCTGCTGGGGAGTTCAGAGGGAAGCAGATACTCCAGACACAGCAAGGGAAGGGGGAGAACACAGAGGGCTGAAGACATGAAAAGTTGCTTTTAACAGCAAAAAACTCCTTTTTGTCAGATGCAGATTTTGCATTCCTGCACAAACAAGGGGCTGTTGCTGGAGCCCCGAGTGAGGCGTCACCTGATGTACTGCAGAGGAGCTCAGCTTGTGACATTTCTGGAAAACACTGCCTTCAAATAACCTGCATTAATCATTTTCACACTGACCTCCTCACCTCGATTGATTAATTACATTTTCTTTCTCCTGTCCGTGTTTCCTCATAAAGTTGGTGCTCCTTCCAAGGTTAATTGAGACACTGACCTTTCCCATCTGCAGCTGCTCAGCCAGGCCACGTTCAGAAGCATTTTGCAGACTCAGCATTGACAAGGTGGCCCTTGGATGGCCACTGACCTGCTCAGCAGCCTGACAGCAGCCAGGAGCCTGCAGTGCACAGATAACAGCTCAGCTCTCCTATCTAATCACCAGAGCAGCGGTGTCAATGATACCAATTTCTGAGCGGGCACAGAGCAGGAGGAGGCAACAGGAAATCAGTTTCCAGAAGCTGCAGCTGAACCTTCCAGGCTGCTGCTGTCCAGCAAGGGCCTGAGTGGATCAGACATTGGTAGTTTGCATTGAGTAAGGTTGAATGCACAGAAGGTCTAAATAGTCAAATGTAGGTCACTGTTAAACAGAATGTTTTTGAGGGCCGGTGGGTCTTTGCTGTTGTCTCTTTTCATAGAACCATAGAATATTCTGAGTTGGAAGGGACCCACAAGGATCATTGAGTCTCACTCCTGGCCCTGCACAAGCACCCCAACAATTCCACCCTGTACATCCCTGGGAGCATTGTCCAAACCTCTGGAGCTCTGGCAGCCTCAGGGCTGTGCCCATTCCCTGGGCAACCTGGGCAGCGCCCAGCACCCTCTGGGGGAAGAACCTTCTCTGATATCCAACCTAAAACTCCCTGACACAACTCCAACCATTCCCTTAGGTCCTGTCCTTGATCACCAACAATGCCAGCTGATGTTTTGTAAATCCCCTCATGGCAGCTCAGACTTGGAGAGGAGATGCCTCTCCCAAGACATGGAGGGTCTTGGCTGCCATGGGAGAAGGTAGATGGCAGTGGCTGTCAGGATTCAGGATTCAGACAGTGGGAAGGTAGAAGGCAGTGTCTGTCAGGATTCAGGATTCAGACTGTGAATGTCTGAATTTATGTGCTTGAAGGAAGGTGCAAAGCAGCGAGTGCTGTGGCACAGAAGCTCTCAGCAGAGCTGTGGCAGCAGCTAGGGGTGTCTCAAGGGCTGAACGTGCTGCCCCTTCCTTGCAGATGTGGACGAGTGTGAGACTGGGGAGTCCTGCTGTTCCCAGTTCTGCATCAACTACGTGGGGGGCTACGAGTGTGCCTGCAAGGCGGGGTTCCAGCTCAGCGCTGACGGCTGCTCCTGCGATGGTGAGTGCTGGGATGGGCCGGGCTAGGCCGGGCTGGGCCAGGCTGGGCTGGGATGGCCCAGGATGGGCAGGGCTGGGCCAGATTGGGCTGGCCTGGGCTGGGCTGCAAGGCACCTAAAGGTCATCTCATTTCACCCCTGCTGTGGGCAGGGACACCTCCCACTAGACCAGGCCATAGTGGGTATTTTTGCCCCCGACGAAGGGAGAGAAATAAGGCATCTGACTCCATCTTGTCAGAAGGCTAATTAATTACTTTATTATACTATATTATTCTATATTATATTACATTACGTCTAAACTGAATCTGCCAAGCACTCAACTGCACTCCACTGCACAGAATCTCATGACTCTCCCCCTACAGTCCCAACACATGCACACACTTGGCCCTGACCGGGCAAGGAAACAAAACACCATAACTGTGGGTAAACAATCTCCATATTGCTTTCTGCTTTGGCACAACACAGGCACAGCAAATAAGATAAGAATTCCTTTGCTCTTTCTCTGAGGTTCAGAGAATGTGAAACCCAGAAATATTTTTGGGAAGGATTGTACCTTGCT